TCTTGGCTTCGGCGTCGGCGGCAATCTCCCTGTCGACGGTGCCCTCTTTCTCGAGTTTCTTCCCGACGCATCGAGCGCGCTGCTGACTCTTCTCTCTGTATGGTGGCCCGTCGGCCAGCTCGTATCCTCGCTCATTGCCTGGTACTGCATCGCCAACTGGCCCGCCGATCAAGGTTGGCGCCTCTTTGTTTTCATCATTGGCGTCATGACGCTGGTCATGTTTGGTATCCGCTGCTTCTTGTTCCATCTCTTTGAGTCGCCCAAATTCCTCCTGTCCAAGGGCCGCCAAGCCGAGGCCATTGCCGTCGTCCATGGCATCGCTTATAGGAACGGTGCAAAGACGTGGTTGACGGAAGAGATCATGAATGCCGTCGTCGACGACGTCGCCCATCCCGAACTCCACGAGGTCCGACCCGCTGGAGTCAGCGTGCTGAAGGACAAACTCAGCAAGTTCTCCGGCGACCGTATCCGGCCCCTCTTCCAGAACAGGACGCTCGGCATGGCGACCATGCTCATCTGGTTCTGCTGGGCCACCATCGGCCTCGGCTACCCGCTCTTCAACGCCTTCCTCCCCCAGTACCTCTCCGAGCACGGCGAGGACCCCTCGACCGGCGCCGGCGCCAGGGCCGAGGCGCCTGCAGAGGAGGGCACAACCATCTCGGCCGAGACGTACCGCAACTACGCCATCACCTCGATCATGGGCATCCCCGGCGCCCTCCTCGCCGCGTACCTTGTCGACCACCAGTCTCCCTGGCTCGGCCGCCGCGGCACCCTCGCCATATCGACCTTCGTGTCGGCCATCTTTCTCTTTCTCTTTGTCGAGTTCGGCACGACGCCCAACGCGAAGCTCTTCTTCTCCTGCGTCGAGGCCTTTGCTCAGAACATCATGTACGGCGTCCTGTACGCCTTCACCCCGGAGATCTTCCCGGCCCCTGTCCGCGGCGCCGGGCACCGGCGTACCGGCGTAGCAGGCTTCCTGAACCGCGTCACGGGCCTCATGCGTCCCGTCATTGCTGCAACATTCCCGGCGACGGCACGACGGGCCATCACCATGTCTGGCGTGTGATCCTGCTGGTCCTTGCTGGCCCTTTGTCGGGCATTGTGTCTTGATTTCCTAATCGGAGAACGCGCGGGCCGGCAGGAAGAACTGTGAGCCGTCCTGCTGCTCCGCCCCATGTTTCAGGTTTTTCTTTTGGTATTTCTCTTTTTCACCTCACCAGGAAAGTGAGGGAACGGCCATTCATTTGGTAGACATGACTTGTCTGTTGCATTGAAGGCGTCTTGGCGTCCTGCACCGCTGCTGCTGGGCTGCGGTTGATTGGGATACTTTGGGTTCGACTGTTTTTATAGACGTACATATAT